GCTCGAAAAAAAATTTGGCCGGCTCATACACGAGTACCACGCATACTCAGGGGCTGGGTTTGAGCCCACTAATACCCGGTTTGACGGGGAACATTACCCCAAGATTTCAGCCTTCTAGCTTCTCAGATCCCCGAGTTATGAGCTTACCCGAAAAAAACTTTGTCGGGCTCATACGCGGGTATCACGCTTACCCGGGGCTGGGTTTGAGCCCACTAATACCAGGTTGAACGGGAAACATTACCCCAAGATTTCGGCCTTCTAGCTTCTCAGGTCCCCGAGTTATGAACTTACCCGAAAAGAACTTTGGCGGGCTCGTACGCGGGTACCGCGCTTACCCAGGGGTTGTGTTTGAGCCCACTAATACCCGGTTGGACTGGGAACAAAACCCCAAGATTTCAGCCTTCTAGCTTCTCAGATCCTCGAGTTATGAACTTGCCCGAAAAAAACTTTGTCGGGCTCATGCGCGGGTATCGCGCTTACTCGGGGGCCGGGTTTGAGCCCAGTTGTACCCGGTTGGACTGGGAACAAAACCCCTAGATTTCAGCCTTCTAGCTTCTCAGATCCCCGAGTTATCAACTTACCCGGAAAAAATTTTGGCGGGCTCATACGCGGGTATCACGCTTACTCGGGGCTGGGTTTGAGCCCGGTTATACCCAGTTGGATTGGGAACAAGCCCCCAGGATTTCAGCCTTCTAGCTTCTCAGATCCCCGAGTTATGAACTTACCCGAAAAAATTTTGGCGTAGCCGTACGCGGGTGCCACGCGGGTATTGGCGCCCATTTTGGGGATTGGAGGCGGTACGTGCATGCAGATTTGGTTCCCGAAATTTCAGTCCCGCAGCTTTTATAGGTCCTGAGATGAAAGTGCGTGACAGGCGCACACACAGACACACAAACGCACAGACACAGACACACGGACACACAGACAACCTCTCGTCAATATGCGTTTTTCGCATTGCATTGGTGCAAAAAACGCATAAAATTGATGTTCCAAGCGATCTCGCTATAGCACGAAATGCTGCAAAAATGGGTGATCGTACGATGCATATTACCTATTAATCGGAGCGTAAAGCTTCTTTAGTTCACATTCCCTTTACAGTCTTTGTCCAACAAAGAACGATGGGCCAATTTACGGCGACGTAAATTGCACGCAGTCCAACTTGGTTGGATGGTGAAGTATTTGTCGGAAAAGTGGAAAATGCAGTCAAATCAGCTTGCGTCATCAGATTCCGAGAAATGTTATTCGGTACTTGCAACGCGAGGAGTGCAATATTTGGTGAACGATTTGCTGAACAATGCACGAGATGAAGGCAGTTAGTTTTCTCTTGTCTCTACACAACTTTGTTTTTGCAATTTTGGCTTTTCTTTGAGCACTCATTTTCTCTCTCTTTCCCTTCTACGGCTGCATTAAAACGGTGGCACTGGCAGTGAGAGTTCAATTGACAGTGCATTTGGTTCTGCTGAATTCCTGAAATTCAACACTTCCTAGTATTATTATTGAATAGTGAAATGTCGGGAAATTTAGCAGCTTTCATATGCGACAGAGTGCTAAGCCGTGTTCTGTAATGGCTTGTTGCCAAAATCTCGTTTTATTGTATTTGTCGTTTTATCTTTGCTTGAATTTACGTCTGAGATCTTAACTCGTGGTGTGAGTTAAGGTTGCGAAACTGCTTGCTGAATGTATGAGGAAATGAAATAAAGCTTGCTGGATCTAATTGAGTGAAATTGTTGATGTTCGGATTTAAATTCTGAGTTTGGACTTAAATTTTCGACCAGTGGCCGATGAATTCTGGGATCAGTTTTGCGAACTGTTTGTGTGTGTATGTATGTGAAAGAGATTCGAAGTTTTTGACATAACTCTTTTTCGGATTATGATTAACTGGTTGTACATTCGGTTACTGTGATCACTGGAAAGCAATACGAAATGAGCGGCTGAGAGTGTGTAATTTTTGTTTTGCTTTAGGGCTAATGAATCGGTTAAGGGGATTGTCTGTAAGAGAGCGCGAGGTTGCAATGGCGCGTTTCATAACGTTGTATCTGAAAAGGGCTTACGCTGGGATCGTCACGCAATCACTGGTAAATATCTAAATTATCTAAATGTGCAGTACAGTACACACCTAGTAGCGAAAATTGGTTTTTGCCTGCCTTTCCTAGTGGTTTATGTAGTCACCTGTGGAGATGGAACATTTTCCTAAAATTTTAGTTTCCTAGCTTATCTGCTTCCTGATCTGAAAGCTGGGGACAAAATGTACTTGCATACATACATACATACATACACACACACACACGCACACACACATACATACATACACATATATGCATACACACACTGACAGAAGCGTGAAATTTTATGTAGCTGTAACACTGCACAAAACGCTTAAAAAAGTAATAAAATCTTCAGAGAGGAAACGACGCGCTGCGAACAGGAGATGCTCAGCGACCGGTTGGGAATCGAAGTTTAGTTGTTCGGCAGGGTGCTACGGAGCGATCACATCGAAAGAGATCTGTAGAGACACAAACCACTGCTACTACATTATTGCTGCGCAAAAGAGGACGACGGAGTGACGATATTCAGCGGTTTGCGAATTCATCGCTGTTGTGGCGACTGTTCATTTCTTTATCTCCGGGAATTAAAATCTCTTTACGCGGGTTCGTCTACTTAATCTTATGGATCAAAATTTCAAGGACACCGCTTCTGTGCTTATTTTCAAAATTGAATTACATTCACTCACTTTCCTGTTTACTTTTTTAATGAAATGTCACAAGTTTATTGCACGTTGCTCCTGGAAAAACGAGCATCATGAATTTTTGGCTATTTGGCATTTTTTGACTAAAACCCGCTATTTGGCACAAACCGCATTCATTAAACCGAGTTGCAAAATAAGCGGCATTTTCTGCGTTTCCTTGACCTATTCCAACAGTAAATTAATATGGGGTTTACTAGCATTTGGTTTCTTTCCAAAAAAACCTCAAGTAGAAGTT